GATGGATGGATGGATGGATGGATGGATGGTGAGATGGAGAGATGGAGGGATGAAAGGATGGATGGATAGATGGATGGATGGATGGATGGATGGATGGATGGATGGATGGAGAAACGGATGCATCAATGCATGGATGTGTGGTTGGACACATAGACATTGAATGTATGGGTGGGTGGATAAATGAGTGGACAAGATAAATAAATAGGTGGACAGGTGGTTGGATGGGTTGATGGATGGATGGATGCACAGATGGGTAGAAATACCATGTGCTAGATAATGAGAAAACAGCGAGGAACAAACCAATTTCAGGAAAGACATTTGGGCTGAACTCAGAGGGTAAGCCAGTCTTGCTGCCCAAGTGCCTGTGTACAGGAATACGCAGGAGGTGTCAGGGATGGGCAGGGGTGCTGATGCTGGAAGCATACACCCTGCATCACAAAGGGCGCTGGGTGAGGCGCCCATCTGAACTGAGAGAGGCTGTCCAGGAACACCCGCCTCCCCAGGCAGAAGCAGTGGACTGGAATCTCTACAGGAAAAGAGCAGTAGCCAGCCCTACTTCCTGACCTCTGGGTGAAGACTGTGACCCAGGCACGCTGCAGAGCTCCCTGTCCTTTTCCTTCCTGGCACTACGGCCACGGGCCCCGGTCTTGTTCAGTTTCCCCAGGTGAGGGTGCACCTCCCTCCTCCGAGCATGGTGGCTGGCACCGAGGATCCCGGATGGCTGAAGCTGCTCAGCAGGCGGTGACCGTCAGGCAGCGATGGTCACTTTCTCCAGCAACCCCTCCTAGGTGCACCCTCCCTGCTCCTGTCCTGAGGCCAGAACCCCTGCTGGGTGCAGGGTCTACTCACCCAGAGGTAGCCCTGCGGAAGGGACGTGCTCACTGCCGAGAAGCCCAGCAAGGGACAGTTGACAGGACTGTGGACCAGGGCCCCAAGCTGCAGAGACAGAGAGGGTGCGGGAGGGGCGGCTGAGCCATCAATGAGCTCCTCCCCCGAGAATCCCTGCAGGTGGGGCCAGGATGGTCCTGACACCACATATGTGATCATCGTTCTTCTAGATGCTCTGGCCAGAAGGGGCCTGAATGATGCTTGGGATCAGCCCAGGGCCTCTGACACAGGCAGCTTCCACATAAGGTTTGTGGAAAGCCACCAAGCCCCCCCACCCTTATTTTGCCAATGAAGATGAGGTCCACCAAGGGCAGAGGGCCGTCCTAGGCCTCAGGGGAGATGAGTGAAGAGGGCCCAGCCTGCGTGTGTTCCTTCCTTGGCCTCCTGCATGCCTACAAGAAAGACACCTTGATACCAGAACCTCTCCGCAGAGAAGCCCAGCAAGACCAGAGGGCCAGGGCCCTTGTGCAGGCAGCACCCAGAGGCTAGGGGTTCCATCTGTCACCAGCTGTCACCGACAGCCACCAGCTGTTTGCTCTTCTCCTGCACCTGCTGCCGCATGCCCCAAATGGGTGGCCTCTGCTCCCCGAGCTGGACCTGGCCAGTCTGTGTCTCCAGCCAGGGCAGGAATGAGGACAGAGTGTGCAGCTGGGGTGCTAGAGGGAGGAACACAGCGCCAGGGGCCTTTTCTGGGCTCATGCTGCCCTCTGCTGGTGCTGCAGGTCCTGGCCGGCCCAGCTCTGCGGGGAGAATCTAACAAAACCTCCAAAGGCCGTGGGCAAGGGGCCTGAAGAGGTCACCACACCCAGCCTCCTCATGTAGCAGGTGGCCAACTTAAAGCTCAGTGGGAGACACTATAGGTTCAAGGTCACGCTGCAAGTCAGGGCAGAGGCAGGGCTAGAATTCAAACTTTTCATTCCGGGTCCAGTGCCCCTTCCAAGCCAGGCGCCGAGTCAGAAGCCTCCGCACTCTGGGATCCCACTTCTGCCTGGTACTATGGGTCCCCACACTCTGAGCAGAAGGCTCCCCCGGCCCTGGCCTCCTGAGATTCCTGTCTGTTTTGCTGCTCGGTGCCCGCAACAGGGGAGGGTGCCCGCCCTCCTACCAGGCTGGCACTCCTCCCTCAGAGGAGGAAGGGCCCACCGCAGCCTGGCTCAGACATTTCCATGGCAACTGCGGTGGGCCCTGATGTCAGCTGAACCAACAGAGCCAGATCCAAGATGATGCGAAAACACAAACGGCCCTAAATGGACAAGGCCCTGGACCTCACGCTGGCCTGTGCCAGAAAGCTGGCTTCCGGGAACCTGAGCAGGGCAGGGAAGGGGGCGTGAGCACGAGAAAGGAAGCAGCCAAGCTGCCTTTGGATGCAGGCAACCCGGGCTCCAACCCCAGCTTAGGGGCTACAGCTCTGGGTTGCCAGTAAATCAGTCCTCCGTGTGTTAAGCGGGGACTCTGCCATCTCAGTGGGACAGCAGTAGGGCCCTGGGAGTGCACAGAACTGGGGACCTGGTACCAAGTGGCTTCTAAAGCTAACAGGAGGGCCTGGGGATTTAGCTCAGCGGCACAGCGCCTGCCCAGCAAGTGCGAGGTCGTGAGTTCGATTCCCGGTACCAGAAAAAAGAAAGCAAGCAAGCTTACAGGGACTCCTCCGGGGTGTTCCAGCACTTCGCACCCCTAGCCACTCAATCAGCGGAGTACCATGGGAGGGGCCCACAGACAAGCAACTGCTGCTAGCAAGGTGGGTACCCACGGCCCTGGGGTGGACACAACTTCACTGTGTTCTTCCCCAAAGGCTCCCATATTGGAAGCTTGCACCCCAGGCTGGCTGTGCTGAGGTGGGGGGAATCTTTGAAAACTGGGGCATAGAGAGAAGTGGTTCAGATTAGCCTCAGGGGAGCTAAATGCAATTCTCATGCACCCTAGCTAGTTCCCAAGAGTGAGCTACTATAGAAAGAGCCGGCCTGACCCCCGAACCTCCCCAGCTTCTTGTCTGGCCATGTGATGGCTCCCACAAGCCCCCCCATCTTACAACACCATCACCCCTAGGCTGCACCACAGGCTGACTGATCTTGGATTCCCAGCCTCTGAAACTGCGAGCTGAATCAACTTCTCTTCTTTATAAAGTACCCAGCCTCAAGTACTTTGTTATCATAACAGAAAATGGACCAAGGCACTCGCCAATGGCAATTTTGGCTAATGGAGGCCAGTGACAATCAGGACAGAGGCTGTCAGGCTGGGAGCTGGGTCCTGAGCAGCCTGGCCACAGACCCTCTGCTGATTAGGGCTATGCCCCCTCCTTCCTCCATGGCACTCAGGTCTTCAGGTTCCCCAGAGAGGACAGTATCCTTGCATTCACCAGCATGTGCCCAGGCAGGACTGAGACTGACCTCAGCCTATGGGTGAGCCAGCTACCTTCCCCTGGGTCTCACCAGGGATCCCTGCTGACATTCTCTCCACTTCTGACAACCACGTCCAGAGGCCTAGCACAGTCAGGCATGGGCACAGCACCTGTCCACACTGAGAAGACACCTGCTGCTCCACCTTCCACTCTAGCACCCTGTTCCCTGCCAGATGGAACCCAACACACACCCTCAGCCAGCGGGGTAGGGCCTGGTCCTGTCCACACTGGGAAGGGGCTGGGCCAGTGCAGCCTTCTCAGAGAAATGGGCTCAGCTCCTGGCTCCACAGGGCTACCTGGGAGCTGGCACAGGGCGGGAGGGAGGCCCGGCAGCAGCCACACCCCCGCATCTGTTTCTGCAGTAACTGGACAAGGCACGGGCCTTCCAAGCCCTCACGCATCTGGCTGCCGGTGCGGAGCCGATGGGGCGCATCTGACTGGCCTGGGGTTGGAGGCGGGTGCAGCAGAGCAGGAGCGGAGTCTCGGGGACCCACAAAGGGGCCGTGCAGACTCGCTCTGTCCCCCAGGAGCCCCGCAGGCCTGTGAACCACAGAGATTCACGCTCGTTCCCTCCATCAGCACAGGGGCTCCTCAGGAGACACTGAGCGAGAGGCCCGGATGTCAGCCCACATGTCCCTGAGCCCCGAGAGCTCCAAGCGGGGAGATACGTGGTCCCCGCCCCCAGGTTCGAGGTGGCAGATGGCTCCAACCTGGGTGAGGCCCTTTCAGGGAGGCCCTGGGCGCAACGGTGTCTGTGACCCCACATTCCCAAGGACCCCCTCTCTGCCACAGAAATCACCAAGGATCAGCCTCTTCCACAGACGCACTGAGGCCAGGCGCGTCACAGACGGGCGACCCTAACAATCCCCTCTCCTCGGACTCTGGTCTGCATCCTCAGGGTCCCAGTAGCCCTTCCTTGGCGCACCCCGCACCATCGGTCCTGCCTGCCCCACCCCAGCACGTCCCCGGCATGCCCCCGCCTTCCCCCCCTCTACCCAGGTGGAGACCAGGGAGACGAGAAGGGACACTTGCCTCGGGTGTAAAATACAAGAGAGTGACCAAAAACTCAGTCATCACAAAAAATAAGGCAATTTTTAAAAATCAAAATGAACGCAAGAAAAAAAATTTCCATGATGAGCAGTGACCAAGCATTTGCATAAGGGTAAGAGCTGCCCTGCTCCCACAGGACCTGACTTATTCCCCTCACTCTAATCGCAGCCTTTCATTTACCAAAGAAGAGCAGCTGAACCGCAGCCTGTCATCTCCCCAGTTGGCCTGTACTTTAAGTACTGTAGTAAAACAATTACAATGTTACTTATTGTCCCCATTGAGACTGGGCACCTGCTTCAGTTCTGTGGCAGGAGTGAGGGCTTCCTCACCTTTCCCCGCTGCCAGCCTTGGCCTCTGCATCTCGCCCTGGACACTGTCACATCACGCCCTGCGCTATCCTCAGACCTGTCCCTCATTAGCCACCTACACCCCTCTCTTGTCCATAGTTTGCTGTCACACAATAGCCAGAAGGAGCCGCGGGATTCAACATATACATCACACAGTGCCGGTCCTGGGCTCAAAGCATCCAGGGCTTTTTACTGCTCTGAGAAGGGAATCCAAGCTTTCGAGGCCCCCATGGTCCAGCTGAGCTGGCCCATCCACTGACCTCACTGTCCACTGCTGTGGTGTGAGTGTCCCCTCCAAAACTCATGCCGAGGCTGAACTGCCATTGTAACAGGACAGTATTAAGAGATGGGGTCTTTAAGAAAGAATTAGGGGGCTGGGGATTTAGCTCAGCGGCAAAAGCGCCTGCCTGGCAAGCGCAAGGTCGTGAGTTCGGTTCCCGGTACCAGAGAAAAACCAAAAAAAAAAAAGAAAGAATTAGGCCATAAGGGCTCTGCCTGTTGCGCATGGGTTAGGGCATTGTCACAGCCGTGGATTCCTGGTGAGACACCTGTCCTGCCTGTCTGCCTTCCACCTTGAGTGGTGCAGCATAAGACCCTCTCCCTATGCCGTGCTATACTCCAGACTTCCCAGCCTCCAGAACGATGAGGCAAGGCAGCTTCTATGCTTTGCATGGTGCCTGGCCTCAAGCATTCTGTCACAGCAACAGAAAACAGACTAGAACACCTCCCAGCTAACCAAGGGAATCCATGCTGTGACAACGGCCTCCAAGGATCTGTCTCCTTGGGACATTGTTCCCCTGGGCCCTCCTTGGGTCCTTCCTTGTCATGTGAGTCTCATAAAATGCCACCTCCTCCAAAGAGCACTCTGGAAGCTCCCAGCCCGTGTCTGTGTCACTGGTTTGTATTCTTGCACATCACTCTACTTCCAGTTCCTTTTATTGGCTGGGTTGTATCATCTGTCCCTCTCACTAGACTGAAATCCCCATGAGCAGTAACCTTGTGCGTCTCAGTTGCCACTGTACTCCCAGTGTCCAGCACACAGTAGGTGCTCAAAACTTATTTATGAATGGACAAATGAATAAATGAATGAATGAACTTACATCTCAAGGGCATTTCTTTCAGCTGTTTAGAGCCCCAGTCTACACCCAGCGGCAAGTCTCCCGGTACTATTTATCTGGCCTGGGTCCCATGCTCGCTCTCCCGTCCCCAGAGCTGAGATGTCCTCATCTGCTTGGGAGACGATGGACAATAGCTGCTCCAGACGGAAGGTGAGCTCTGCCAGGACATAAGGGACAGACGACCAGAGGGAACTGAGCTTTTCTACCTGGAAAATCAGGTCACCTCTCTAAGCCTTCGCTTGCTAATCTGTGAAACAGTTATCGGAACATCTGCCCATAGCGTTATTTTAAATATTAGGACGAGCGAATGACAGCAGAACACCCAAGTACAGCGCAGCGGCTGCTTCGCAGACAGAGGCACAAGGTGGTCCCCGTGCCAAAGCCAGCTCCAGCTAGCAGCATTGTAAAGGGTCCAACCTGCGATGTCTGGTACAGCTTCTGCATTCGGGCCACCAACAGATGAGATCATTGCTACCTGTCACCTCAGAATAACGGAATGTTCCGCTCACGTGACCCACGCTGGTCATGCACCACCCCCAATTATTCTGGTGGAAAAACTAACTCAGGGAGCCACAGAAAGCCCTAATCCACTGAGTCGTAAGCAAGCGACAAGCGGGCACTGGAACCTGGGCCATCCCAGCTGCTGTGGGCACCTCCTGGAAACAGATTCCCCCCATTAGAGGGCACTGCCGCCTTGGCATGAATCCACTCACCTGCAGGCTGAGGCCCCGGGAGGAGAAGGCAGGGACGCAGCAGGCCAGGATCGGGCACCAGAACGGGGCTTTGCTCTTCCTGTCCTCGTCCGGGCACAGCCAGCCTGGCTGGTTCTCCTCCCCTACAGCAAGAGGAAGGGTGCAGGGGAAGCTGCTCAGCGTCTGGGGACCAACCCAGCAGAGAGCAGCTGCCCAGCCCAGGGTGGGAGGTCACTGCAGCCCCCAGAGGTCCAGTCTCCACAGTGACCCAGATCGCCCCAGATAGTTGCTCCTGGACCCACACCCCTGCCTGTCAGAGATGAAACCAAGCCTCACCCCATGGGCTTGGCATGAACCCAGGCTGGGAGCCAAGCCACCTCAGACTGGAGCCTGAGCCTGACTCGCCTCTCTGAGCAGCCTTGCAGATCACCCCACCTCTGTGAGCCTCAGTTTCCCCAGCCGCAGAATAGGGACGATGGAACCAAGCCAGGTAGGACGCAGCTCACAGCTCTGCCCGACAGCCAGAGCTACCAGACAGATCCTCCGAGTGGGAAGTCACTTGGCCCAGTGACACCCGGCTGCAGGTTCACCTTAGGGGTGTCCCACTTCACGACAGAGCGAGAGCAAGACGTATTGAGCAGACACTGCGCTGTGAAGTCTGCTCTTTCCCCGGGCGACAGCTATGTGATTCGGTCCTCTCACCTGACGCTGAGAACCGCGGCTCCCAGCCGGCCACCACCAAGAGCACAAGCAACCGAGACAGCAGTGCACTGGGTATCGGCACTTTTTAACATCATGTTTTGAGTCTGGGGATCTACGAGCATCCAGGAGATACGCCGCACTTTGTTACGAAACAGGCTTCACATGCCTCAGTTCTGCCTAACTCCAGGCTACTTGCGAGGCATGTTCTGCTCGTACTGAAGGTGATTGAGGCTCAGCCACGATGTCCCGTAGGACTCATATAATAAATGCATTTTCCATTTATGACATTTTCAACTTACAGTGGGATTTCTGGGACATCACCCTATCAGAAACCGAGGCGCACCTGTATTCTCCACTGTTTTGTTAGCTTGTCTTTTTCCCTTTGTGTGAGCACACACGTGTGCAAATGTGTGCACCTGCATGTGGAAGCACGGACTCCTCTGCCACAACAGTGCTCCGTGAAGGCCCAAACTTTCCACACCATTTCCTCTTTTTTTTTTTTTTGGTACCGGGAATCGAACTCACGACCTCATGCTTGCCAGGCAGGCGCTTCCAGCACTGAGCTGTATCCCCAGCCCTTCCACCCCATTTCCTATAGGACATCCCACCTGCTCACGCAAGGCCGCACCAATAACCCGACGCATGAGTACCCTCCTCTCCCACAGCTTCCTTCTGCAGGTGCAGTCACCATACCCACCGCCATGAAGCGGAATCTCAGATGCTGCCCGCTCCAACAAAGAAGGGCTGGACATGTGTGGGCGGTGGTCACTGCAAGGGCAGCCCCATGCCTGCACGTTGCAGGCACCTGAGAAACACCACAGCCACCAAAGGTGGCTTCTGAGTGCCTGCCTCGTCAGAGGAGCTGGGCAAGGGGCAGTGTGGATTCAGTGTCAAGGGGAAATACAGCGATGTCAGCTGTACCCAGTCCCCAAGCGCCGACTCGTTCCCTACAACACGGACCAGAGGTGACCATAAAGTCTGTCCCCTGCCACAGGAAAGAGAGGAGGGTAGGCTGATGCAGGGGAGACCATCAGGGAAAGGACAGCCCAGCACAGGGTGGATGTCACCGTACCAGAGCCCTGTGTCCCATGCATCCTCCCCGTTCATCCTCACGGTCACCCGGGGTGTGGGGTGGGAGTAAGTCCGCCCGGTTCTACACTGGGCAAGCGATAGGGAGACGTCAAAGGCAGGGCCAGGCGCCAGGACCAACCCACTGGACACTCGGTGTCCCAGGCACCACTGCTCTCAATGGCACGGTGATTATGTCACGTTCACCTGCTGCCTCCTGGGCCAGCTCCCCAGGGGTGAATAAAAATGGGCAACATCTAAGAGACCACCCCTGCCCGCAAGGAACTTACCACCCGGCCACCCCCGCCTGCCAGACATGCGCCTGCAAGTTCCCACCCAGGCCGCTATGCCCGCCTGTCCTGCCCGGCAGGCTCCTGGGCGGTCGGTTGTACCTTCCTGCTGTCCTCCCACCCACAGCCCTCGGACTCGGGTAATTTATTATCATATATATTTTTTAATGATCTGACCTTCTCCTTCCAGATGGTGCCTTCCCTACCTGCAATCGGGAACGTTAAAAGAAAATGAAGTTGTCGCTCCCCATCTGCCACTGCCGCTCCTCCCATCGCAAAACCAGCGCGGCGGAGGCCAAATTAGAAGGCTGCTGGCGCTCCTAAATTGAAAGCCCACTTGGGATACGTGACATGAAGAACTGGCACCCACAGCAAGGCTGTGATCTCTGAGTGACGGTGAATGGGGGCTTATTCAGCGCCCAACAGTGTGTCTGCCCGGCACCCCATGGAGCAGGGGGCACAGCTCCAGGGATCAAAGCTCCCCCGACCCTCGGAAGAATCTACTGCCATTTGTCATAAGGGCCCCACTAAGTCCTAACCCAGACTCCGCATCGCTGTGTGACATACAACCAGGTACTTAACCTCTCTGAGCCAGTCACCTTGCTGAGGAAATAGGGGAATGATTCTGTTTGGAGCTGTGTGTCCTGGGCCGAGTATCTGTACAGCCTAGCACCCACTAGGCCCTCAAGAGACAGTGGCCACTTTGATCATCATCCTTGCTGTCCGCAGTATACCCCACAGTACCAGAGGCCGGCTGAACCACCTCTGCCCTGCCTCCCAGCCCACTGAGCTCAGGCAGTGCTGTCACTTTACTGTCACCACTGGCCCTATAGATAGCTGACTGCTCTGCTCAGAATCCCCCACTGGAGGCCACCTGCAAGGCCCCACCACCCACCAAAGAGCTGTGCAGATGCCAGGCCTGGCAGGGCTTAGCAAGGTTTTTCCCACCCCTGCTCCACCCAGAGAGACCCTGGTGCTATCCTGGCCACCGTCTCTCAGTGGGGTAAACCAGGGTCTGGTTCCATGGCTAACCTTGGCTCTAGGAAAGCAGCGCCAGGGCCTGGGGAAATCCCAGCACCAACCAGAGACGTCTCGAGGGTTAAGGAAGATGAAGCTGTAAGTGGTGGTACATGCCACCCCAGCATGCTGGGAGGCTGAGGCAGGAGGATCTCAAGTTCAAGCCCAAGTCCAAGAACTTAGCAACTTAGCAAAACTATCTCAAAATTAAAAAAAAAAAAAAAAAAAAATGGAAGGGGGACAGGGCTGGGCATGGAGCTCAGGAAAAGTGCCCTAAGTCCAATCCCCATTACTGCAAAGAAGAAGAAAAAGAGGAGGAAAAAAAGGTTGTTTAGGAGCCTGCATGGCCCAGGCCAGGGCCAGAAGCCAGCAGCTGAATTGTCAGTGAGTGAACACAGATCCTACCATGAAGACAGGGGGCTGGAAAACCGGACCCCATTAGGGAGGCCCCAGCCTGCACCTGTGGGTGCACCCCTGGGCGTGACCCGCCGGGCCCCAGGGAGGTGGGAACAAGGGGGCGGGGGAGGCTCCAAGGGCCCACTGGGTGGAAGGGCCAGGGATGCGCAGTCCTGTTCTGGGGTACAGAAGGGGAGCCCAGGGGTTCCAAACCGCCCTCACCTCTTCCGTGGGTCACAATCTTGGTACACTGTAGTCAGGGAAGGGGGAAGACAGGGAAGAAATAAAACGCAACAAAGGAAGAGTATCCTTGCTGAAGAGATGTTTTTAACATATTCTACCTCTAACGGCTCGGCTCCCATTATCCCCCTACCCCAGGCGCTGCAGATTAAAAAAAAAAAAAACAAAGCAGCAAAATAAAAGGAACAAATTATTCAAGCCCCAGGGGGACACAGGCATTCAGATAAGATTTCAAATGATTCTCCTTCCATTAAAACTTTTGCTGCAGTGAAACTGTGCAAGACACACCTCCACTGGCAGTGCGTGCCAGCTGCCAGGTTCTAATAGGGCACTGCCCACCTAGAGAGCAGGTGCAGGGCAGGGCTGGGTACCTGCCCAAGGGAACTCAGGTAGAAAAGAAGCCTGAGGCCAGAAATCCCCAAATCTTCAGAATTGCTTAAAATCTTTTCTCCACGCGCCAGAAGTGGTCTGGCCACCCAGAAAGCTAGAGTGACGGCCAGGGGACTGACTGAGGAGAAGCCTCTGGCATCTGGCTCTTCAGGCTTCGATGAATAGCTTCCCAGCACACCCAGAACAAATCCCTGAGGCCTCCTTCTCCTGGCTTTCTGGAAACACCACACCCTGACCCATTGGTCAGCCTTGTCCCCACCCCAGGACCTTTGCACTTGCCATTCCCGTGTTGAGATCACTTTGCCCAGATCTTTGCCTGGTTTCAGATAGCTTCAACGAGGCCTCCAACAGCAGCCCCCAAGCTCAGTGACAGCCACATAGCCCCATTCTTCCCTCCTCACGGCACAGCCACCCCCACCTTTAACCTCCACTTGACCCCCATCAATTGACGCTCCAGGAGAGCCGGACCATCTGGGGTCCTGTCATTGATCCCCTACACTGGAAATTACTGCAGAGATTCAGTAAGTAGGGTTTTTAACTTAATGAAAGCCAGGGATAAAGGTCCTGACTTCTTTCCAGAAATGTTTAAAAACCTACCGGAGATATATAATTATCTATAAAAAGATCACACCAGACACAGAGACAAAAACAAAAGACGGTCCCCCTCCTGGGGGGAACCTACAGATGGGAATTCGAGTGCAACGTGTGACAGCACTGGCTGTCAGAACACAGACCTCTCCGTCAGTTCAAGAACTGCACGACAGTGACACGGGCGGTCCCGACCCCGGGAACAATGGCCGTCACGTAACGAACGTGGCTGGGCAGACAGGGCTGGAGAGGGGGCCCAGGTCCAGATGCATACGTGTCCCTCCTGCTATGCGACCTCACACAAGCCCAGGTGCCTTTCTGGGCCTCGGAATCCCAATGGGAGAAGGGGGTTCACAGCAGACCGACCTCAGAGTTACTGAGGATCAGTTGAGTCCAACCTGCCTCATGGGAAGTCGGAGGGTGATGACTTTATTGAGATATAATTCAGTGACCACAAAAGCCCAGGCTCTGCTGGTTTCTCACCTCCTCGGGCGCCAGGCGACCATCGCTCCTGTCTGACTCCAGACATTTTCACCCGCTTTACAATAACTCCGCTCCCTCTCCCCACGCACTCACCCGCTGTCAAGGTCTCATCAATGCACAGATGGAGAAACCGAGGCTCAGAGAGGGGAAGTGACTACTCCGAGGTTGCAGAGCAGAGCCTCAGGACTCCGGATGAGCGGTTCCTCCACCACGCCCCCCCCTCAGCTCAGAAACCTCCTGCCCCAGACTGGCCCCAGACACCCCTCGTACCCGCCCTGCACCCCATGCTGGTGCTCTACTCACGGAGTCCAATCTTGGCCAAATGCAGCCTGTTGACCCAGGAAATCTTGCTCAGGGGGTTGGGGGTGATGAAGACCACCATGAAGCTGATGGGGCGGCCAGACCTGCAGGGAGCAGAGTGAGGGGTGGGGACGTGAGTGCAGGCACAGGGCGGGGCCTGTGTCCCAGGGACAGACAGCCCAGATGCCAGCGGCCTGGCGAGGCTCAGCACTGCCCTGGCAGGGGCCTCCTCTGCACGCTATGACCTGGGCTCTGCCTGGCAGACCTCTGCGGGCTGCGACTCCACCCAGCCAGGCTCCCACGGCCCCATCGGGTGGCCGCGGCCTCTGGAGGGAGGGTGGGCTCCCACTCAGTCTCCTCCCTGCGCCTGGCATGTGCAGCTGCCCCGTAAGTGTGTGCTGAGTGGACGCATGAACGAATGAAGGAACGGACGGATGGGACAGCCAGAGGTCACTGTCGTCACCACAGTGCCCTTGCACCTCACAGCAGTGGGAGGCCCTGTGGATCCTTGGGGCCAGTTCTCCATCCAGCCCCCGAGCAGGTGGCAGGGCAGCGTCCTGCTAGGGTGTTGGGGAGGGCGGGGCGAACAGCGGCAATGCGGATGCAGCTGAGGCGCCGCTGTCTTCTGGCACCACTGGGCTGTAACACGCTGTTGCCACCTCTTCCCCCAGCTCAGACACCAAACCTGGCTGTGAGCCTCTCTGACTACACAGCCTCGGGCCTGCTGGGCATCCTCGGGGCTTTGCCTTCCCTCCTAGCACAACAGGGATGGTGACACCCACTCTACAGAGCCTCAGGAGGCCCAGGGAGACCCCGGCCCGTCTTTGCCGCGCTGAGCAGCTCATGTCATCGGGCCCACACACGGGGGATTGATGGTGCAAGCCTCCTGCGGTGTGGGGATCGGGGACCACAGCCCGGTATGAGCAAAAGGACATGGCCCAAGAGGAACTGGCCCACGGCGGGGGCTGAGAGTCTTAACGGAAGCACAGGCTGACCCAGGGCACCCACAGGGCGCTGTTCTTCCGTCCACTCATCTGTAGTCTTCCCATGAGCACCTACTGCGCGCCTGGTGCCATCCCGGGTGCAGCCACAGTGGGCATTCTCCTACCCTGTCACAGCACCCGCACAAGGCAGTCCCCTCTCCCCCGGCAGCCCTCCCCGTGCGTCCGTCCTCACTTGTCAGGCTTCCCGGGCAGCAGGAGCCGCAGGCGGCACTTGTTGGCCGAGTGGATCTCCTCCTCCTTCACCCGCAGCAGCCTCTGCAGGGCCAGGCACCAGTCCTGAGCCACGGTCATGTTCAGGTTCTAGGTGGGGAGCCGAGGAGGTCACTGCACAGAGAGCCCACAGCGATCGCAGCGCCCCGGGGGCAGGACACAGGAAGCAGCCCACGCCCTAGCCACACGCAGGAGGCCCGCTCCCAAGTTCCGGGATCTCCGGCCCTGAGTCAGGGCCTTTGCAGCAGCCCCCCTCCCAGGGGACACATCCTCCCAGCCAGCCCCAGGCCACCGCGCAGAGAACCGAAGAGGACCCCGCAGCCCAGCTCAGCTGGATCCAAGCCAGAGGCCGCACGCTGAACCCCCGGGAGCTAAGCCTGGGCACCCAGAGAAGCAGGGCCCGGGACCCACCTGGTAGGTGCCATGCAGCGTGCTGACCAGCAACGTTATCTGCTCCACCACGGCCAGGTCCTTCTGCAGGTCCTGCAGCTCCTGGAAGAGGCGCGGGGGACCCAGGTACACCTTGTCTGCACAGAGAAGAGATCCAGCTCAGCCACACGGTGGGGAAGGCGCCACCATGGAGCCAAGCATCCGCTGATGGTAAAAAGAGCGAGCAGTCACCCTGTGGAAGTGCCACAGGGGACACCGAAGGACACGCGCCCGGGGTTTACCCTGATGGAGCACATGGGCTAGGTGGGAGACACATCGTTTAGAGAAAGTCTAACACTGGGATCGGGATCAGGCTGCGCTCAGTCTGTACACGGGGCCCACGGAGACCATGCGACTGGAATGAGGCTGTACCTGGGACAGCTAAGGAGCCTGAAGGGGGCCAGAAGTGTGGTGTATACGACCAAGGAAAGAATAGCATGTGCAAAGGCACTGTGGCTTGTGGCATTCTGTGAACAGCAAGTCATTCCAAGACATACTGAGGGCCTAGAGGGTGGCAGGAGAGACAGGGCAGAGGGACTGGCAGGAGCAGATGGGGAAGGACCAGCTGTTTTTAGCTGATCATGGACTCTCAGTCTGCGTCTTGTGGAGTCCCTGGGCAGGAGGAGAGGCCTCATTCATTTCAGTGATTATCTGAAAAGCAGGTGCCTATCCTGTGCATCCTCGCCCCAGATATGGTGACTTCAAAGCCACGTCCTTCTGCGTGGTGCCAGGGCTTCTGGGCCGTTGAAGTGGGGCCACTGGAGCTGGTTGCCAGGTAACCAGCAAAGAGCCAGCCGGGCTTGGGAGGTCAAGGACACACTGACGCCAAATATAGAGCTAGGAGGGGCTCCGTGGGACCCCAGCGGGGCGCACAGGTGGGGAACATGGCTCACATAAGGCGCCCAGTGGGGTGGGCTTGGGCCCTGAGGGACCCGTGCTGTAAGAGCGAGACATCCATACTGTGAGCAGTTTGGATTCGGCACCACGATGTCATCTGTCACATTAAATTAATGCTCTTAATGGGAACTTTATTGTTTTGCAGCTTGATCTTTATTCAATTTGTGACGTTGTTTTGGTTTTATAGTTGTTCAAGGGCCATAAGCATAAGAAGCTGATTATGCGGAGCTTCATGTTTGTACATGTATGAGTAACAATATAACGAAAAACGAGGCGGGGCCCACAGGGCTCAGCAGACCCTCCCCTCCCTTCCAAGGGCGTCCAGCGCACGGAGTCTAGCGTGAGGAGTGGGGGAGCAGGAAGAGCCCAAAGCAACACCCCACAGTGGGCCAGAGGAGAGCGCGCTGGGTCTGTGGACGCCCCTGAGAAAGGCAAAGGGCGGGGCACCTTTCTAAGTTTCAGATTTGGAGGTGGCATCATGGCGCCCCTTGAGGGCTCCCAGAGTCCAACACTGCCGCAGCAGCCTGGGTCAGACAGGGGGCAGGGCAGGGAGAGGGGAAGTGAACCCCAAGCCTCTCCCACCCTGTGCAGGTGCCCTGCGCACAGCGCTACCACCTGCCGGACCTGCCGGCAGCACCTCCGCACCCCCGGCTCTGGCCGAGGGCGATGTCACCCTACTCACCAGCAGAGGGGAACCCATCCCAGCTCTCAGCACAGAGCGGGGGCCCGGCCCAGCCTGAGCTCACACAAGGCTGCTCAGAGAGGGTGAATAAAATGGGCACACAGGACAAGGACAGGGTGACAGGAGGACACAAGATGGGAGCACAGCCCACCCAGGAGCCCAGAGGGCGGGAGGAAAGTGCAGTGCAGACGGGGCCCAGGACAGGCCCACGGGCCTCTACCCAAGAGCAGTGACAGGCACTGGGGTGGGGGCGACACACACAGCTGATGTGCATTTTCAAGAGCCCACTCTGGGGACAATGGAGGAACAGGAAGGGGACCAAGGTGGGGGGAGGGAAAGCAGCCAGGAGGCGCCCCAGAGGCCCAGGGCACCGTGGTTAAGGCCCACTTGGAGACAGAGGGCCAACAGCACACTTCGAGGTGCTGCAAGGCAGGCGCCCTGAACGAGGCGCCTCATTCCCTCCAACACCGTGTCTGCGGCTCAGGATCAGGACAGGGAGTGAAGGCACCGGTGTAGCAGAGGGCGCTGAGCCCGGTCTCTGAGGGCTCCAGGACGGATGTGTGTCTCCCCGCCCTAACCGTGCAGGCGGCTCCACTGAGGTACCAAAGGGACACACCTACCAGAAAAGCAGCAAAGGCCAGGCAGGAAGCGGAAGTCACCCTTCCCGCTCAGTCCTGCGTGCGCATGTATGTCTGTGCGTAAGGCTGGCACAGGTGGGCCCTCCCAGTTGAGACAAAGTGTGCATGCCCGGGAACCAGCAAGAGCCCTTGGGCCCAGCACCCGGCAGCCCGCAGGCCCCTGGCTGGGCTGTGACAGGTGGCTCGGGGCAGTGGCGGGCGGGGTGTACTCACTCTGGGCCTGGCCCGAGGTGGAGGCCTTCTTGGCACCCGCGTGTTGGATGAGCACATTATCCTTGTCGTAGGCGCCGCCGTCCTGGCCCACCTCTACCACCTGCACCTGGGGCAGCGCCGTGTTCCACTTTACCACGTACTTGGGGCCCAGGGGCACCAGGCTACTGATCTCCAGCTGGCCCCTGTGAGGACAGAAAGGATGAGCTCTGGAGAGCCGCCGCAGCCCACCTGGAGGCAGCAGAGCCCCATATCCGTGCACCCCAGTCCAGCGCCTCAGCACACCAGCTCAGCCAGGCTTCACACAGCCCAAGCACCGGCCCTCAAGCCACTTCCCAGCCAGGCAGAGCAGGGAGCCCTTGCCGGGGCATCAGCACCAGGGGGCCCAGGCCCAGCCCCAGAAACAAAATCACACCCCTCCAGCCCCTGAGCCCCTAAACTTCCTACCTGTGGTTGGCAGGCCTGAGGGAAAAAACAAGAAGGGAAGGAAGGTCGTTACTATGTTCAAACAATTTCTATGGGGGCTGAAACCATCTGGGGTGGCCGCAGGGCTGGGCATCAGGAGTGGAAGGAGGGACAGCTCTTGGGCCATCATGATAACAGAAGCCACAGGGCACCAAGGGGAGCCCAGAGAGGGCCTTGTCCCTGTAATGGATCTGCTGTCACCTCTGATGCTCAGAAGAGCCCTGCTAGAAAGCTTGTAAGATCCAAACAAGGAAACTGAGGCTCAGCCAGGTCACGTGACTGAGCCCAACTTGCCTAGTGGAGTCCCCAGAACTAAACCACTGGCCCCCAACTCTACACACAGTGCGAGACCCTGAGCCGTACGCAGGCAGGGAGGGCACCATCATACCCACGGCCCCCGCACTGTCCCTAGGATATCCAGGCGGCATGAAGGAATGAGCCCACCAGAGGTGGTGTCCACACCCATCTGTGGCAGAGGCGGCCTCCCTCAAGTGCCCGCGGGGACTGGGTGCTGTCCAGAACTGCTCATGGGCCAGATAAGGGCTCCGTGTACACTCACCGCGTTGCAGACACAGGGACGGTGCAGATGTGGCCACACAGCCCTGCCTGCTCCCCTGCCAGGACCCGTGGTCCCTGACCACAGAAGACCCCCAAACCCACTGGGTGGCCATGCACAGGAGCGCATGAGCTGATTCTGGGTGCAGAGTCTCTACCAGCTGGGCATGCGCCTCGCCCACCTCCCCACCAGGCCGTGGTGACTGGCACAAAGGCAGGAGAGCTAGGCCGGGCCCAACATTCAACCTCGACTGAGGACGGCGCTCCCCTCCCCACTGACTCATTATCATTGCCTCAGTTCTATTTCCAGATGTTTCTTAACCTGTGTACCTTCTCCCGGGAGCCCCCTGGAATGGTCACAGCTGGAATTCTCAAGGGGCCACACCCCTGACATCTACAGCGCCAAGCAGGGGACACATGAGTGAGCCAGGCGGGCCCACTGAGAACGGCAGAGTGTGCGCCCCAGCTCCAGGCCCTTGTGGCCCAGGTTGGTGTGCACCCAGCATGGTGGATCTCCCCACTTTCAGTGGAAGCCAAGGGTCTCGCCCTTGGTGTGAATTCCCTATGTAAGCAGAACCGGAAGTTCCCAAAAGCCCAGTGCAGCCCCCAGGCCACAGTCCCCAGAACCCGGTCTAAGAGTTACCCTCACCCCAGCCCGGGCTTCAGGATGCCGAGGCTGAGCCCAGCCCAACAGCCTGGTTCTGGGTGTTTCTACAACCTCTGACCCAGAGCTGGGGAACCAGGCGCCTGAGGGATGAAGATACTCAGGCAACGACCTACACCCAGAAGCCCGGCACAAAGTGGGCAGAGGAAACCCGACTTGCGTTAAAGCAGCAGGGATTCAGGCTGGACGCATAAATTTCCAAGTGGTCAAAACCCAGGAAGCTTCAGGTACCAAGCACAGAATCCCAGACTGGACACAAGCTCTGCGTGTAGGACAGTGGCCTCCTGGTACTGTCCTGATGGCCTCTCCAGGTACTTCCCAGCACCGGGCACTGGTCACAGACCAGGCAAGTGTGGGGATGAAGGGCCCCAGCCAACCCGCCCAGGCCCGGGCCACTTACTTGAAGTTGATGTTGGCGCAGACCAGCATGTCATTGAGCAGGAAGACTCTGCGCTCCTTGGACTTGATCAGCTGCCCGCGGTCACCGTACACCGTCTCTGTCAGCGTCTCACACAGCAGCAGCTGCCGCTGGCCGGAAGTCAACAGCTGGAGGAGAAGCAGGGCGGGTCAACTCCAGCACTGCAGCCCAAGGGCGACCCAGATAGGGCTGCACGGGGCCGGGCCTGGCTGCAGACGCCACAGTGCCTGCGGCGGTGGAGGCGCACAGGCCCTACCTCCGATGTGACGGCGAATCTCAAGGCATCGGTGGCACACGGTAACCAGCGCGTGGGGCCCTTCTACGGCAGCCCTGGCAAGGCTCGGTGGCACAGCTGGCACACAGGGAACACTCCATAGGGAACTGCTGTCCCAATACGGCTGTCCATGATGATCCCCACCACGGAGGGGTATGGCCTCTGCCAGGGACCTGTCCCTGCTGCCCCCAGACCAGGTCAACAGCCTCGGTCCTTCTGGCTCCTGGCTGGCCAGGAACAGAGCTGCAGGTCCACAGTACCTTTGAGGAGGCCAAAGACCAAGAGCCCCACCAGCACTGGGACCACCTTTGTTCCCCAACAGAATTTTTTTTTAGGGGTAGTGGGAAGAATCCCGCAAACTGCAGTCCCAAACCCTGTAACACTGACGGCCATTGTGCTCCCCTTCCACGGAACCCTGCTGACCAGAAGACAGAGCCCCCCAAAGCCTCCCTGGAGAGAATGCCCTGATCCCCAGACAAGCACGTCTCTCAAGTCAACACACAATGAAAGGTCCAAATGGTACCGGGCAGTGGCTGTGTGCCAGGCCCTGCGGGTGGCATGCAAAATCCCCCCTGTCACCTAACTGTTCAGCAGTCATGTGGGGCTTGCTCAGTCCTCAGATGAGGAAACTGAGGTTCTGGAGGATAAGTGAGGCGTCCAGAGGCACCGCATGACGGTGCAGGACAGAGCCAGGCCACACGCACGGTGTAGTGGTGTCCTTCCATGTTGCAAGCCAGAGAGACCACTGCTCCCAACTCACAGCCGGACTCGAGGACCCGTGGGGCCCCTGCAGCTGCTCAGGCAGGGCTCCCCCGATGTTTCCAGAAACAACCCAATACGCTCGTGAAAACACTGCTTGGACTCCAAGGACAGCAGGGTCCCCCGCCAGGCCGCCAGTGAGCGAGGACCCACCCAGGGAAGAGGAAAGTCCCCTGGCTTCCTGCGACCATCCTCCTTCCCCTCAGGCAGATGAAAAGATTAAAAAAAAAAAAGTAGAAAAAGAAACCAGGATATTGCACCAACGTGATCCCGGAGGCCCCTGCATCAGCTATTTTGAAATAGCTAGATGGCTCCATTTCAGGGAACACCCGGTTTCATTTCCTCCTCTCACTGGGTGATGGCGAGAAGGCCATTGCTGAACACCTCCCCAAGGTGGCCAAGACTGTCCAAGGAGGGCCCTCTGGGGTGGGGAGGGCCATCACCAGCGTGGCCACCACCACACCCTTCACAGCAACATCACACACCTGTCCAGCCCACCCCTCACTTGATAAAGGGGAAACTGAGGCTGGGCCCTTCAAGTCCCTGGGCCAACATCTAGGGGGTCTCTACCCTCCACCCAACAACTACCATGCACTGCTGCCAGGCCTCCGTGGGGCACAGGGGAAGAGAACAGACAGGGTGATGCTGCAGGGTGATTTCCTGTCTCAAGGGGGCTCTGCAGGAGCCAAACCTGGAGAAAACCTCCTGGTTCCTGAACCGGAAGTGGGAGGCAGGGACACAAGGACCTGCACAGGGGGCCCTACCGGAGCCACAGCCCTCTTCCCCAGGCACAGGCAAACTAGCAGGTGGGTGGGACGTGGAGTGAGGCCCCTACACCCCTCATGCTACCCCCAGAGACCCTGGATGGAGACATCCCCAAGGGGAGGATCCGTCCCAAGCAAGCCCAGATGCCTCGGGTGAGCCAAGTCGCAGTGAGAGAAGGTAGGTGGGCCACAGGGAGCAGGCAGCTCACAAGACCAGTGCCACACAGGATGCGGGACAGTATGCCAGCTTCTCCGCCCCTCCCAGAAGATCCACAAGTCTGCGCTTCGTGGCACGCCTCCTGATTTTTAAATGTTACCAACTACTTCCTTTTCTTGAAAAACACCATGTGGGCCTTGAAACACATCTGCTGCCTGAATCCGGCCCGAGGCCGAGGGTCCTGAGATGTGGAATGGCTGAGCCTCAGGCCTGCGAGGACCCCCAGGTGACCTTGGCCCAGCCCCACTCTGCAGGCCTGCGGTGAAGGTCAGAGAGGTCATGCAGGCTGGAGGACACTGGGACCAGCAAGTGCAGTGCACAGGGAGCACGGCCACACCCTGCTGTCGTCCTCTGGGACACCAGGGCTTCCGTCCCCTCCCAGAGCTGCCAGCTGCCTCTGCTCTGCTTCCGGAATCCCAGAGCCCAGAGGTTCCTGGTTCTTTCCCCAGACCTGAGCACTTTCCTGTGGCCTCATGCAACCCCCCCCCCCCCCCGCCCCGTCCCCCCAAGCTCGGCCCTAACCCTCAGGGGAGGGAGGTGGGGTGCCCTAGCGAGGGAAACAGAGGGACTGCAGTTTATCAGAGCGGCCACCTTGTGGTTTAAAAATAGGGTTCTCCACAGATTTGCAGGCAAGTTTATCAAGATAGGGGAGGGCGGGCATTTGCTGGGAATCAAGCCCAGGACCTCTGGCATAACTAGGCAAGTGCTCTACCACTGAGCTCCATCCCGAGCCCTCAAGATTTTTGTACCAAAATGTTCCTACCCCAAAGCACAGCACAAAGCTTGCACTTTTCCTTGTTTCCTAAACTCTCTCTGGGGGTCACTATGCCATCTTCCTCACTCCCCAGAAGCCCAGGGCATCAGCGCTAAGAACTTTCTTCATTTTTAGAGGGAGCAAGTACGTCTCAGAGAGGCTAGGGGATTCCCCTGAGGACACACAGCAATGCCAGTGACAAAATCCAGCAGTGTGTGTGTGTGTGTGTGTATGATATTAAGGATCAAACCTGTGGGGGCTCTGCCACTGAGCTATGCTCCCAGCCCCTTCTATTTTCTTTGAGACAGAGGCAGGACTTTAAACTCACAGTCCTCCTGCCTGAGCCTCCCAGTGTACTAGGATTACAGAAATGCTCCACCATGGCAGCTTAAAATTTCTAACCCACATTCCAAAGCCCAGTTGTTTAACTGCAATACATTTCTGGCAATCACATGAATGAACAAAATCTCTTTTTATCTTAAAATAAGGAAGAATGTCGTGGCCTGTCAAAAATCTCAGCCTCCACTTCAGGGCTGTGGGCTTGGAAAAGCAAAGGCTCTCTCCCTCAGCAAACACTGCCACCTAGTGGGTGGCCGCAGACAGGAGGCAGGAGGGCGGCTGCGGAGGAGGGGGGG